GGAAAACGTATGTAAGACATAATTACTTATCAACTTTGAAATGCCTCAATTGATAACAATTTTGGAAATGCTTTAACATTTTTTATAATTTTTAATAAAATGTGTGTGTGTGTGGGGGGGGGGGGGGGGGGGAGGGGCGTATCGAGAACCACCTTGACGTTCAACCCTGGCGTCTATCAGCATCCTTCTCAATGGCTTTACCTTTGTACCGTGCACTAAACTGCATCGTTGGCACGCAGACATTCTGACCTGATCGCAAATCACTGTATAACTCTGTAATAACGGAATCTTTTACAACATCAAAAATCTGTTTATGAAACAGCGTGAAACAAAACTCGATATCACCGTGTCTGTAATTATTGGAGTTTTTAAAAATGGTCCACAATGTCGAATTCTTAACATTGTAGTCAATTAATGCATAGAGAGTTCGATAATCAATCACATTTACTTTCTGAGCTACCTGTTTTTATTACATTACACCTAATGCCCCATAAATTTCGTTGCCCTTAATAATGATATAGTAGTATGATATATATATATATATATATATATATATATATATATATATATATATATATATATATATATATATATATATATATATATATATATATATATATATATATATATATATATATATATATATAACAAATGAACGACGAGATACTTCGAAATTATTAAACAAAAACAAAATCTTTCCTTTATAGCTAGTACAGATCCATCCACTTTATTAAGAACTTTTTTTACATCTTTAAATTCATTTGAAGAGACTGTAAATGCTGGTGACAAAATATATTTGGCTAGCTAACAATGGTAACAGCGCTGGTTTGTTTGTTTAAAATATGAGTGAAATCGGGAAACTTTCTTGAATAAAAAGTTAGGAAATCTGCTAATTATGAAATTAGGCACTCTTTATGATGGTTAAATTAGGCAATCCGCTTAAAGTTGAAGGTAAACAACCAGCTTTTTGGGTAACTAGGCAATTGTCTTAAGGGTGAAAATAGGCAGACATGGTAGCATAGAAATTAGGCAATCGTCTTATAAGTGAAACAGAGCAACTCTACAGTGAATGAAATGAAGTTATAATAGAAATTATTGTTTTGGTCTCACATCTGGCGAACCACCAGAAAACACTTTAGGTAATGGCGCGGTCGGGCGGGAGAGCTAATGATTGACAACTCCAAAGTCAAGAGCTCGGACCCCGGGTAGATGATAGCTGGGGTCAGCAACCCATTTAGGATAGTAAAATACAAAATCAAACTGCTGCCTTGTAAGTTGTTCATTAGTGACATGCGGACTTCTCTCTCTCTCTCTCTCTCTCTCTCTCTCTATATATATATATATATATATATATATATATATATATATATATATATATATATATATATATATATCCCTCTCTCTCTGTCCGCAACATTTTTGATGTTATGTGATCAGTATCTTCAGCGATATACGGAAGGCTTAAAGATACGGACTTTTGTTGAAAATAATATGGTGGATGTTTTAAATGTATAAACTCAATTTTATTTAAAAAAATAAAAATAAAGACATATTCGAATGTAGAAACACATTTTAATCATGCAATAGGGAAAAGTGTTTATTGTTGTGAAAAGAACGCAATAAACAATGACATCACACGCCATCTGTTTCAACTACGGAAAGTACACAAAACTAATAGTGTCATCTTCAAATTTTAAAATATGAAGAAATTAACTATTTCATTCACATTTGATTTAGATCTACTTATCAAGACGTAGGCTACGCTATGAAATGTATACAATTTTCTCGGTCAAACTAATAAAAATTACTTTAAAAAAACATAATGACCATTGAGTAGCCGGGTTTTTAACGGAATCATTTAAGTCTCTTAATCAGTGTGTGCATTTAATACGGTGCTGTGTTGACTAATAATGTATATAATTTGATTTTAATTTTTCTAATAGGTATTGGTATCCTATGTTATTTTAAATGTGTCAGATATTTAGCTATTTAGTTATTTCTTTGCTTTGTCATTAATATCGTTCAACGTCTAGTAAAGCACATTGCGTTTTGACCAATAACTATTTTATAAAATATTTTCCTCAAAAAAGTATAACATTGTAATATATAGGCCTATAATTCATGTGTAACGGTTATCGACGGCTAGTTTTTATGGAAGAAAATCAAGAAAGAAAAGCAGCCTAAGACCTGAGTCAATATCTTAGAAGATATTCCCTTCTTATTACATATATGAACGAAGACGAAAACATATTTGCCGAAGGCCAAGAGACAATGGAACTATCTTTACCATTTGTTTTTTTCCGTATTAAGGCGAACTATGTACTCAGTAACTTTACTTGATTCTCAGACTATTGCCCTGTGGCTATATACAAATAAAAACTTCTGCGATCTCACAGATATGCAAATAATTGCTTATTATAAATGCATTTTCATTCAATATTTTGATACATTTGGATTGAGAGTTCAATATTTGTTGATCATTCCCTAGCCAACATTAGCCAGTCATTCAGTGAGGCATGCGTCTGCACGTGCATTCAACCGTCAAGTGGAGGCCTGGCGAGTTAAAGCGAAACGCACCGTGCAACCGATGTAAACTCGGGTTTAACTCTGGTTTAACACTGGTTTAACTCTGGTTTAACTCTGGCTTGACTCTGGTTTAACTCTGGTTTAACTCTGGTTAACTCTACTTAACTCTAGTTTAACTCTGGTTTAACTGTGGTTTAACTCTGGTTTAACTCTGGTTCAACTCTGGTTAACTCTGGTTTAATACTAGTTTCACTCTGGTTTAACTCTGGTTTAACTCTGGTTTAACTCTGGTTTAACTCTGGTTTAACTCTGGTTTAACACTGGTTTAATACTAGTTTAACTCTGGTTTAACTCTGGTTTAACTCTGGTTTAACTCTGGTCTAACTCTGGTTTAGTTCAGCTTTAACTCTGCTTTAACTCATGTTTAACTCTGGTTTAACTCTGGTTTAACTCTGGTTTAACTCTGGTTTAAAACTCACCCAAAGCTCAGAGTGCACGACGCATCCCGAGTTTGCTTGGAGTAAGTAGCCCAGAGTCTGGGAGTCAGTAACTCAGCGTATGGGAGTAAGTAGCCCAGAGTCTGGGAGTAAGTAGCCCAGAGTCTGGGAGTCAGTAGCCCAGAGTCTGGGAGTAAGTAGCCCAGAGTCTTGGAGTCAGTAGCCCAGAGTCTGGGAGTAAGTAGCCCAGAGTCTGGGAGTCAGTAGCCCAGAGTCTGGGAGTCAGTAACCCAGAGTATTGGGGTCAGTAAATCAGCGTTTGAGAGTCAGTAACTCAGCGTATGGGAAATCAACATTTACAATTGATAGCTCAACTTACTTAAGTATTTGGCTGATATTCACCACAGCATGTTACACGTCCATTCTTTTGTTTAATTTATTTCATCTCAAAATCAAAGTCAATGTGCTTAAGTACAAAAATAGTGGGCTTAACAATGGCAATTTGTATTGTTCTCCTTCATCTAATATGGCAGCCAATTTTATAGCCTGGGGTGAGAATAATGTGTGTCAAAATGTTGCTTTAAGGATTACGGAGGCTTGGAAATCCCTATAGAGAACCTCAATTACTGCGCATTAAAATTTCATATTAATGCATAGAAAACCTCGTTTCTGTAGCGAAATCCATATTTAAAGACAGTTACTGTATTAACAGCCTAGGAAAAAAAAGTCTTTTAAATGATTCTCAAACTGGATTAAGAGGCAACCTTGTCAGACGTCAGAATGATATAGATAAAGAAAACACAATAATACGCTTAATCTCATCGTGAAATGTTATATGAGTTTAAACAATGTGTCCAAAGGTCAGTTTTATTTGCAATGGTATGGTTTCAAAAAATGGCTAGATTTCTTTATGTCATTTGTCTAATTATAAAGTGTATTTAATATATTGTCATGACCTGTGCATAATCCAATCAACACGAATGCTATATGTAACAGGTGTATTGGGTATGTATATCAGGAGAACCGCCACACTTGAGATGAGCTAGGCTTGCTGGGAACTCTCAAGCTAATTCTATTGATATAGGCAATCAGGGGAGAATGTTCCTGGCATATGACAACCGTTTGTTGTGACAATATAAAAGACTGTGTAGGCTGGACGTGTCAAACTTAATGTTGTAAACGTTCCGTCGGAAGTACACTATATGTGTGTATCAACTATATTAGTGCATGCGTGAGTACGATGGTTTTCCTTGCTTTCAGTAAGATACTACTCAAGATTTTACTTTCTCGTATATAGAGGATAAAGGGAGTGTTGCAAATGTGCTGAACAATTTACCAGACGTTTTGAAAGATTTCGTCCTGTTAACCTCTCCATACTTTGTGGATATGTTTCGTTTGCGAACAATGACATCTTGTTCATAACATTTCAATTAATAATCTATCTCAGACACACACATATACTTTTAGCAAATATCTACATTATCTCATAACCTGGGTTAAGAGTACGATAAAGGTTAAGATTTACATTAGTGTGTCGGGTACTACAATAATTTAAACCCTAGTAAATAGTTGATTCCTAGAGGCGTCATTTTGGTTTTATTTTATTTTACAGGTGACGTCATCTGAATGCACTTTCATCACACCAGTCAAGCCAATTGGAAAATACATCACCAGGTATCTGTAAGGCAATACGGCGTCACAGTTGAGTGAGAAAAAAAAGTTGTATTTCCGGTACGACCATAGTGCCAGAAAAGCTTTCGATCATTTGGGTAAACAGCCAATCAATAATATCCTCTAAAAGGTAGAGATTTGGGGATCAATTGTTGGTTGATCTTAGCTATTGACAGAATTTTTTTTTAAATTAAGTCAGGTATATTTCAAAGAGCCCATTGTGAATCTTAAGTTGGTTGTGAAATTGGTATTCACCAAACTGTTCAGTTCTGACGTTTGTATATTACATGAACATCTGATGTAGCTTCAAGCATTCAGCACGAGGGAAACAGCCAGATTAAAGTCGTTCATAGTGTTGGTTTTTTTTGTATTGCACGATGGATGCTAGAATCGTCTGTGTATTGATTGCGATCAGTTTTACTTTAAACGATGGGCAGTCGAACTCTTGCATAGGTAAGTATGTAACACATACTTTTTTTTTTTTTTTTTTTTTTTTTTTTTTGTAGGCTGTTGTTTTTTTATTTCTCTATAAGTAATTCTCACATTAAATTTTTTTTCAAAGAAAAAGGCTTATAATATATTAACAAATCACAACAAAAGTCACAAATCAAAAATTATACAAAAAAGTAAAAAATAAATATAGTTAGGTGTAACCTTTCTAAAGCTATATGCTGGTATGACCAAAAATAAAAGCCTGGGCGCTCAGTTGTGGAGAATATATTCCATAAGGAGTTCATTGATAAGTTTGCGTTCTGTAACAAATATAAGACCTATGTTCAATTGTCATCATTGTGTGCCTAGACTTTTAATTTTAGTCATACCAGCCTATAGCTTAGTACATTTTCTCATTTGTGATTCTTTTTATTTGTGAAATATAATAAAAGCCTTTTTTCTTTAAAAAAAACGTGTTGTTTTCCAATTTTTATTCAGACGTTCGAAATGAAGCGGAAGCTACACAGGCTACGACTAAAAAAACGTATGCGTTCAAATCTGTCAGTAGCTTGTAAAATCTAAAAATCTAAAATTCTGCCCCTATCTAATTCGTAGTCGACGATGGACAAGAAGTCAGCCTACTGTGAAAACAATTCACTCATTATTTTTGATATTGCTAGCATCCCTGATCTTATTGTGTCTAGTAATCGAATATAGTAATTTTAACTATCTTATTAAGGGTTCGAACCCTCGGGCAGATGAGGCTCGTTAGCTGGGGACAGCCACTCTTCTAGGAGAGACAACTCGAAAATTAAAACAACTGCTGCCTTGTAGTTTGTTCTTGGTTGGACAAAGGCTATGGAAGCAAATCCAAAAAGAAAAGCAGGCTGAAATCGGAGTCAATGGCCTCAATGGCGCATAACCAGTTGACACGTAACGCTTAATTGTGTTGGAGGCGTGGTCGAGTCGGCAAAAAGCTTATGGTTGATAAATTCGAACAAAGTCTCGAGTTCAAACCCACTGGCAGATAAATCTCGATCCCCTTCAACACTAATAGTTAAGAACGAAGAAGAAGAAAAGAAGACTATCTTATTAGATTAAATATTAGATATTCTTGCATTGTCATCTGAGATCTAAAATGTTGCCAAATTTCTCTCAATCTTACATCGGGAAGTGGGTAAAATTATTTTTCTAATATTTGCGGAGCCACAGACAAATTTCTTTGGTGGACGTAAAAAAATGCGAAGACATAAATATATTGGCCTACTGTGTGAATGTAATAAAAGCCTTTAAATAGATAAATGGAAGCATGTATTTTTAAATTTGGTTATTAAGCTGCGGTCAGAAAATATTTTGAGCAGTGGGGGCGAAGGGTGTAGTTATTCTAAATTGAGGGGAAAAAACGTAAAGTAATTATATTTAGAAAAACAATAAAAGGTACGTCGCAGTTGTTAAAAACTGCATTGCCAATTTCGTAAAATTAGTAGCCGAATTAGTAATTTCATGAATTCATGAGTTAGTTGGTAAAGCTTTTGTAAAGTATTGTAGGTTTGCCTTTATTTATAGACAAATATTTTACGTGATTACATGTTTGGAGATATTACAATATTTTTTAAAAATCAAAGTTCTTAAAAATTTCCAATAAAAAACATAACGTAATATTTTTACTTCGATTAACAAGTCTATTAAAAAATCTTTGAAACCATAAAAACAATATCAAGTGTGCGTGTAATATATTGTTCCCGTGTTCATAGCGAAACTAGAGGCTTTAGAAAAATGAATGTCATTAGAATAACTAGAAAACGAAACATTCAATTTTTAGGCACCATACACTAAAAATTTAGTTTACATTTATTACTAGGGGAAATGACTGTTTCGGATGGAAAATATAATTTCACGTCACAGATTTTATAATCGATGCTATTTATACAACGCAGCGGTATGGATTTAGCTGGGGATGGATTATGGATTAGGTGCCTTGGGTTGTAGGTGGAGTGGGGAGGGGAGTTAGAACGTTGGTGTTTTACGCCGTGTGCTGGTGGTGCTGTATTGTCTTTAATCGTTATTTCCCTTTACGATTTTTAATTTCAACTGGTGCGTCATACAGCGATATTGAGTTGTCTTATAGCATAGCTTATAGAGTAAACAGTTAATTCATTTGACAATAATACCACTTTAATGTCACCAGTTTAATGTTACCACTTTAATGTCACCAGTTTAATGTTACCACTTTAATGTCACCAGTTTAATGTTACCACTTTAATGTCACCAGTTTAATGTTACCACTTTAATGTCACCAGTTTAATGTTACCACTAAAATTTTACCAGTTTAATGTTACCACTTTAATGTCACCAGTTTAATGTTACCACTTTAATGTCACCAGTTTAATGTTACCACTTTAATGTCACCAGTTTAATGTTACCACTTTAATGTCACCAGTTTAATGTTACCACTATAATTTTACCAGTTTAATGTTACCACTTTAATGTCACCAGTTTAATGTTACCACTTTAATGTCACCAGTTTAATGTTACCACTTTAATGTCACCAGTTTAATGTTACCACTTTAATGTCATCAGTTTAATGTTACCACTTTAATGTCACCAGTTTAATGTTACCACTTTAATGTCACCAGTTTAATGTTACCACTATAAATTTACCAGTTTAATGTTTAATGTCACCAGTTTAATGTTACCACTTTAATGTCATATATATATATATATATATATATATATATATATATATATATAGAGAGAGAGAGAGAGAGAGAGAGAGAGAGAGAGAGAGAGAGAAAGAGAGAGAGAGGGGGGGCTATCTATATATATAAAAAGCATTGTATGTGTGTCTGTCTGTTTGTTTGTTTGTCCTTTATGCTACTACACCTCTTATTAAATCGCCGTGAAACTTTGGGAATTTGTTGAGAATATTCCTGGGGAGGCTTCTGCGAAAAAAAAATTTCAAATTCGCAGGGGTGGCGCCCCGGCAGTGCGCGATTTGTTTTTTCTCTATATACGGTATATAAAAATAAAAGTCTATTTCGGTTTCACACCGTTCATTCGTATACCATGAAACTTTGGGGAGATGATTAGATCACTCAATGGTAGGGTTCTGCAAAAAAATATTTCTTAATATTACAAGGGCGGTGCCCCCGGGGGGAGCGATTTTTTCTCTCTACACGGTATATAAAAAATAAAACTCGGATGCGGTTCATCGAAGTGCCATGAAACTTTAAGGAGTAGATGAGAATACTCCCGAGAATATTTCTGCGAAAAAGAAAACTAAAGTTTCTTATGGGCGGCGCCATATAGGGTACAATTTTCGTCAATACACGGTTTGGCGCCCAGAGTTTTAGAGCGATTATGTTGGCACTTGGCATCCGTTAATCGAGCGTCCTGCATAGTGAGTAAGGGGTACTACTATATTCAGCGGGAAAACAACAACAGGCTTCTAAAAAATAACTTTGTAACGCGAGGAAATCCTGTACAGTTTCGTCACCTTGCGAAAGATGAAAAAATAACTTTTTGAATATGAGGAGCCTACTGTAGAGTTTCGTCACTTTGCGAATGATGCAATAAGCATCTATTATTAGACGATCCAGTCAGAAATTGAGATCGAGCATCTAATAATAGACCATTAGTAACGCTAGTATATAGCATCAGTCACACTGATGTTTAAAACACGTCAAATAATTTTTTTACGTGTTAAAGAAAAAAAATTCTGTTGATTTGTGTCACTTTAGCGAATGACGAAATGTGCATCATTGTTTACAGGATGCTATTTGGTACTCTGGGTTATCCTATTAGTTTTAAGGAGCCAGGGGCCATACGTGGCGCCTATGCGGTAGTGTAATCGGGGGTGGGGGGCTCCTGAGAGCGCCCCTATACGTCCCTGACACATGAAACTCACCGAAGTGTGTTCTACCTCATTATTTCGGTGAGTGATTAATGTACACTCAAGGTTTTCATGCGGTAGTGTAGGTAAACCCATGTCCCGATATTTATGATCCAAGCACAGGCATTGTTAACATTTAAATAACACAGTTTTAGAACAGAAGGACACGCGTCTAAGAACATATGATTGGTAACGCATTGGTGATATCCTTCTAATACATTCGTCAGACTTTCTTCTATCCCGCGGCAACGCGCGGGGGACGGGTACGCTAGTATATATATATATATATATATATATATATATATATATATATATATATATATATATATATATACTAGTTGTTCATCACATGCTTATCTGACCATATCTATTACTGCCATAAAATGTATTTACTTTATTGTATGTAGTACATACCTGACCATATCTATAGCAACTATAATCTTTTCCAGGTACAACAAGGCCATCTGACTATATATTTATTGCAACTATAAACTTTACTTACCTGTATTCTCCAGGTGCAACAAGCCCTGACCATATATTTATTGCAACTATAAACTTACCTGTATTCTCCAGATGGAACATGGCCATCTGACCATATATTTATTGCAACTATAAACTTACCTGTATTCTCCAGATGGAACATGGCCATCTGACCGTATATTTATTGCAACTATAAACTTACCTGTATTCTCCAGATGGAACATGGCCATCTGACCATATATTTATTGCAACTATAAACTTACCTGTATTCTCCAGATGGAACATGGCCATCTGACCATATATTTATTGCAACTATAAACTTACCTGTATTCTCCAGATGGAACATGGCCATCTGACCGTATATTTATTGCAACTATAAACTTACCTGTATTCTCCAGATGGAACATGGCCATCTGACCGTATATTTATTGCAACTATAAACTTTACTTACCTGTATTCTCCAGGTGGAACATGGCCATCTGACCATATATTTATTGCAACTATAAACTTTACTTACCTGTATTCTCCAGATGGAACATGCCCATCTGACCGTATATTTATTGCAACTATAAACTTTACTTACCTGTATTCTCCAGATGGAACATGGCCATCTGACCGTATATTTATTGCAACTATAAACTTTACTTACCTGTATTCTCCAGGTGGAACATGGCCATCTGACCATATATTTATTGCAACTATAAACTTTACTTACCTGTATTCTCCAGGTGGAATATGCCCATCTGACCGTTTCTACTCCGACCAGTACGATATCTTCCTGGTCCCTGGCTTCAAAGACCCCAAGAACACCACGGCCATCAACGTGTTGGTGGGCGTGGTCAGCAACTCCGAGTGCGCCATGTTCTGCACACAGAACCTGAACTGCACCAACTTCAGGGTGTACACCACCACCAAAAAATGCATGCTCTACCCAAACGGCAGCTACCCCATTGGGTACGAATTTTTCTCCAAAACAAAATTAAATTAAAACATTTATTCTCGATGGTGTTTAGTTAGTTAGTTTGTTGTTGTTTTTTTATAAATTGTTGTACTACTAAATAAGACATTCGGGGGAAAAAATTATAATTGGAAAATGGGTCGGCGGTAGCGTGCTAGACTGCTAACACGAAAGTCTGGAGTTCAAGACAGTAGAAAGTCCTTGATGGGTTTCTAACTCACGTAAGGGAAAATAATGGCGGATGGGCATAGCGCTATCCCTTCATATGTCGAGGTCACTGAAACAGATTAATTCTACTTCACCTAACCCACGGTAAGCACGAACGTGAAAAGATGATTTTCTTTTTTAAGTTACTATCAATATATATAATTATCTTCTGGGAGACGCTAGAAAACAAGCTGTAAGCCCGCTCCCTATCACCCCACCCCTACATGGTCTGGTGAGCTTTGGTTCACGCTAAATGTTTACAGTTGTAGAACCGGGTTTAGTGACGGCTATTAGGGGCAGATAATTTAGTTTGAAACGATTTTAAACTTAGAGGAGGTAACTAAGAGGAGGCTGCTTTCACGGGGGGGGGGGGGGGGGGGGGGGGGGTAGGGTAGGGGGAAAGGAGGGTGGGGGTAGTATCGTCCTTAACGACCTACTGATAGTGTTTTAAAGCAGATATTTTCAGTGGCAGCATTGGTGCTGTCGAATTCACAAATTACGAATTACTGAAAAGTAGAAAATAAAACAACTAAATAGCGGTGTATGATATGCCGCGGGTCGGCTCGTTTTGAATAATGAATGTGTGTTTCAAACTGCACTAAACTGAACAGATTTCAAAGCGGAGATAAAAATGTGTAGTGTATAAAACAGTTTTTGTTTAACAAAATCCCATGTGAGCCAGGTATCCTTCATAGATTGGTGGACTAAGCAATACATCCGTCAGACATTCGGGATATTAAGTATGTTCTACCATCCGACCAAGCCGTTCCACGCTTTGGGTTATAAATGAATTAATTAAAGTCTATGAAAAAGGGCGGTGTATATTTCATAATGTTTAAAATGTAATTTTAAAAAATAGAGTTATAAATCAAAACAAACTTTGGAACTAAAGTTTCAAACAGCCATGCTTTACAGAAATAATCACTTTAAAAACTCTAAAATGTGTTATCTTTAACATTTATAACCTGATTTGTAAATAATATTTTTAAGAAAGAAAACTAGTAAAATGTGTATAGTGAAAAATAAAAATGAAATGTAATCGTGTGGCAAATCTTTATTTCAAAATTAAATGTTATTATAACCTCAAGAATCGCTGATTCTATTGAAAACAACGTTGAAGACAAAAGATTTAGCCATGTAAATGCCAGTCTTTGTGTAGTAACCGTATACAAACAAAGGTGACATCATAAACTGGAATTTTTCTAATAAACCAACTATAAAAACTTTAATATACCTCAGTTTCACAGTGCATCGCAAAATAGGAAACAATATAAAAAATATTTTTATTGCTGGTATAGGGGAGATAAGAAGAAGAAATTATTATAAGTCTAGTAAAGAATGGATTATCTCCTTTGGTGTCAACATCGCTATTGTGCGCTAGATTGATACAAATGTTAGACTCGACTATTTATTGCCCGTCAAACTACAGCAATAACTTTATGAATACAGGAATAAAGAATGTTACAATGAAGAATATTGATTTAGCAGTGAAATATATAAAATATGTCGACTGTTTTTTTTTTACAAGTTCTTCGGAACATAGAACCGCAAGGTAAAATTATTTGTGGACAAATATTTCAAAACAAGTAACCCTATTAAAAACAAAACTAAAGTACGATTTGATTGCTGTAGCGATTAAACACATACACGGGGCACGGGTCAATAGTGTGAGTCCATGATTGGTGTCACCATTTGTACTACATGAATGGTGACTGTCTAATGGTAACGATATGGGTGCGTATGTGTGAAATAGTGTGGTAATCAGTGGCGTAGCGAGGTCGGGTGTTCCCCGGTGCGGCACTTAATGGTGTCATCCCCCAGGGGCGTAGCGACCCTTCCCGGGGACAAATTTTCAAATTTTCGGTTTGCACCCCCCCTTCAAACTTTCGATTTGCACCCACCCCCGCAAGTTTTTCTCTATATATTTTGCTATTTTTTGCCTTGGTGTCACCCCCCTAAATGGTGTCACCCGGTGCGGTCCGCACCTGCGCCCCCCCCCCCCCCTAGCTACGCCTCTGGTGGTAATACCGAGGAGGTTTGTGTGTGTGTGTGTGTGTGTGTGTGTGTGTGTGTGTGTGTGTGTGTGTGTGTGTGTGTGTGTGTGTGTGTGTGTGTGTGTGTGTGTGTGTGTGTGTGTGTGTGTGGTAATGTGGTATTACAGAGTAATGTGTCTGAGTGTGGCAGTATATAATTTATATGATCTATAATTTCAGGCGTATGACGGTTGTGTTTACAATGTGCATTCAATATACAGTCTTACGCCTCGTAAAGAAAGAGAGATAACCCGTGTAATATTTTTCTTCTAAGGTTCTCATCTATCGTCTAACAACATTAGGGAACCGTGGTTCTCTTTAATTGGGAAAATGTGATAGTGTTAAAATTAGGAAAACAATCAGGAAACTTTAAAGCTGTATTAATTAGGAATTTTTAAAACTATAAAATGCGAAACTTTAATTAGGAAATTCTAAAACTGTATAAATTTGGCAGCTAATGTTGTATAAACATAGACTAAAGAATAAATAAGTTCAATTATAAACTTCCTCGTATTGTTTGAAAAAAACCAGGAGTGATCTCCCCTGAACTTTCTCGAATATTTTTATATAAAATAACAGGGGATGGGAACTCGGGCTATAAACATGATTTTTAATCCATTTTAAATACTTATAGTTTTTAAAATAGAATACAATCTCATAGACAAAAGAATTGCACACCAAGTGAACGCTAAATAAAAAAGTGCATTATAGTGCGCAATATTATTAGTACTTTAAAAATTTACATTAGTTTTTTGAGAAATCGGAAGTAGCTTAAATTACTACTTCCGTTTAACGGAAATGACTCAAAATTTAACAGAAGGTAGAAAATTAGATCTTTTACATACAAGTGAAATTTCGTTTATCTATCTGAAATAGTACTAAAGTTATAGGCTTTTGAAAATTTCAAAGTAGGAAAAGTACCACTTCCGGTTATCGGAAATCGCTCAAAAGTTGATACAGATCTACGATTTTGATAAAATACTTATATATGAAATTTCATCAACCTAGCTGTAACGGTACTCAAGTTATCGTGTTTACACACACACAGACAAACAGACAGACAGACAGACAGACACACAGACAAACGGACAAGATTGCAAAATTATGTTTTTCCGTATCAGTGAGATGTAAAACGTCGAGATTTGTAAAAATCTCGATTTTTTTTTGCACGATTACAATACTTTCTCTATACTTCGTATATACGAGAAAGTAAAAATTATATAAACACATCAATGAAACATTAATTAATTAAATAAGTTTTAACCATATTGTCCAGGTCATTTCGTAGGAGCATGTTCTGGAAACTTCTAGGGAACTGTGCGTACACTGGGGTGACGAGATCTTTTAAAAAAAACACAATGATTATTTTTGTGTGGGGACGTCGTGGTCTGACGGTAGAGCAGGTAACTGCTAACTCCAAAAGTCCAGAGTTCCGACCCCCGGGCAGATGAGGCTCATGGGCTGGCCACAGCAACCCATCTAAAAGAGAAAAAAAAATCAAACAACTGCTGGCTTGCAGACTGTTCTTGGGTAGAAAATTACTATAAAAGCAAATCCATAAGAAAAGCAATTTGAGTCGACTGGCAATATGGCGCATAATAAATTGACTAACACCGAATAGGCCTACTTAGTTGGGTTCGAGGAAATCTTCTTCAATATTAAAATCAAGAAGAAGAAGAGAAAGAAGAAAGAAAGAATATTTAGTATATACCTAGCTGATATCAGGTGGTTATAGAATAAATCAAACACGAAAACGTTTCTACGCCCAGTTAAAGTAAAAAAAAAAGGTTAAGTTTCCTTTCAAACCTGACGGGCTATGGAACAAGTGAAGAAGAGTTTACCTGTTTATGTGAGCTCGGCATGTGAAGAGATTGTGTTTCTAGGTCTAGCTCCACCAAAACTAACGGTGACTTCAGTTTTCATTCGGTTACGTGTTTCAGATCGATTATTTCTAATCGCACCAGTTTAGCTGTAGCCTACTAGTGGAGGTATCCTCGACGTGTTAAATGACACCTATTAACCCTTTCAGCCCGGATGTTGTTGTTTTTTTCTGTTTCGTCTAAAAAAATTATTTTCCTAAAATTTCTTCCAATTTTACGCAACAATTTTCTTTTCCGCTGATACAAATACTGCAGGTATAAGAATATGATGTGCGTCCATTAAAAGAAAATGGATTACTTGATTTAATTTTACAAAGTTTGTTATATGCTAGTTGTTTTTTTTTTTTTTAAATATTGAAAAATAAAAATATCGTGCACTAGCATTGGACTTAAGAGTTGATGCATTAATTAATAAATATTTTACAGAAGTCTAAGCAGGTTTGAGATCGAATAAAAACTGATTGATTTGTCAAACATCCTGAACATAATTAACTATATATATATATATATATATATATATATATATATATATATATATATATATATATATATATATATATATATATATATATATATATATATATAATGTATGTGTGTGGGGGGGCAGGGTAAAATATGTGCGTTCGTATATATTGTTAAGAAAGAATGTATTTACTTTAAATGCAGCTAAACGTAATCAAGCTTGATACAGTTCCCACTTTCACAAAAGCCCGTCGCCTAGCAACCTCCCAATGATTTTCTTTAATTCCCACTAAATTAGTAAAGCCCACTGCCCAGTCCTGTCCTGGAGTTAAATACTTAGCGAACGCGCGCTCTAGATGAGGGGCTGAATTTTTAAAGCCATTTCATTGAGAAACTCTTGGACTAAGTGTATGCTCGGCCCTCGATGAATGCGCTGACGTAGATGTGT